TCCAGATGGGTTTTGTAAATATCGTCTGGCACTTTAGGCTCCATGATGTCCAGCTGCAAAGACAAGGGATAAGGGGGTTACCTCCTGGCCAGCACATCCTAAAACGGCAACCTCTCCAGGAGGCATCTGTCCCAGATCATAGGGATGATGGATTTCTCCACAAATCTTGCCACAGAGCCTGGCAGCCAGGGCAGCCACAGCTGGAGGTAGCTCAGGCTGCTTTTCCCAGCTGGGACACTCACCTCTCTGGCTAAGGCCAGGAAATTGCTGTTGAGCTGGACATTGGACATGATCTCTGTTAAGTCCTCGTACTCCTCCACATCCTCATTCAGCTCCAGGAAGACTCCATGGCGGCCTAGCATAAAGGCCATCTGCTTCTGGACAACTCTGTACAGAGGGGAGGGGTTTCCTGAGTGCCCAGAACCCAGCAAGCCCCAGCACAAACACAAGTTCACCAAGCAAGTGAGCCAACCTGCCCTGCCCAGGGCATACAGACATGACCCACTCCTGCCCATCCTCATTTCAGGGACAAGAGTCTTAATCCAAACCCCCAGACACCTCTCACAGCGGCAGATCCAACCTATCTCTACCCAGACGGGGAGCCTTGCCCCATCAGGATGAGCAAAGGCTGCAGAGGGCAGGGAACATCTCTGCTTACACATCTTTGCAGGAAGTGAAGATGTCCTCCACCAGCTCCACATCATTAAGCATCAGAGCCAGGCGCAGGGCTTCAGGGTAGCGATTGAACTTGCGGAAGATGCCCAGGGCACAGCGCAAGAGAGCCGAGTTCTCAGGCTCCGGGACATAGCTTACACAGCTTTAAGGAGGAGACAGACATGACAGTGACAACCAGATCAGGAAATCTTGGCCCAACAGGGACCAGGCCCCATCCAGCAGCTCGACCTGCCAAGCCCCCTCACCTGGTCAGGTAGAGGCACACTTTGGAGTAGGCATTGTCATCGATGTACTTCTCCAGCATGTCCATCTGCTCTATCTCCATAAGCAGGTCACAGGCCTCATGCTCTGCGTTGTGGGCCATGTTGTAGGGGACAATCTCCTTGACCAGGGTGAGGAGTGTGTCCCTCTGAGCCTTGTCAGCTTCATCAATTTCCTGCCACTCCTTGGCTACCTCTCCTGCCAAGTGCCTGCAGGAACAAAGGGATATCAACACTACAAAAACCAGTTTCACTGAGCCATGAGAATGGGGAGCAGCTGCTCCCAGTTAGCCAGGGCTGTGTGCTGTTTATGGAGGCTCTGCATTCTGCAGAGCTTATGGGGCCCATAGGAGGATCAGGGTTAAGACCAGAGATTTCAGAGGCCACAGAAGCAAGACCTCTGCAGCTAGAAAACCACCATGAATAGAGCATGAAGTGACACATATGCAGGTGTGACAGGGGAAGCTAAACACATGACCAGCTAGTCAAGACACATCCCAGACAGGCCAGGCCTAAAGCACTCCATGAAATTTCACTGAACCCTTATCCTTCCCCAAGCTCTGGTCCCACTCAGGCTTACCTGACGTATTCATGCCCCCAAGATGCCAGCTCCTCTTGGGAGCCCACCAGCCGGTACTTCAGACACTCACGCTCCCCACTCATGGTCATGGCCAGGACAGAAATTATGTCTGCTGCAAAGCGCTGCAGAAAGAGTGCAGAGCTCTAAACACAGACTAGGCACAGGGAACCAGGGGCAGCCAGGGACACAACACCCTTGCTGTGCAAGCAAACCACCACAGGGGGCAAAAGTACTGTCCTGACAAGTTATAATCCTCTGGAGCAAGTCACAGAGACTGCTGTTAGATCCCAGGGTCCAGAGGGCTCTGCAATAGCCTGCCCCAGCACTGTCCCCTCAGTCACGTGGGATGGTGGGGCCAAGAGTTTCTACCTTATTCTCTCCCGGAGCCATGTTCTCATAGATCTCCTTCAGCTTGCCATAATGGGGCCGTAGAAACTTGAGAGGCTTGGGAACAGAGGTCATGGAGGTGGTGGAAGAGCGGATCTGCCTCCGCAGCTCCTCCAGGGCAGGGCGGTAAAGTGATGTGTCTTTCTCCTGCAGAGGGAAGCTGCTTGTCAGGGAGCAAGGGGCTGGTTTCTGAGGCAGCACCTCACTAGCCCTCCCCAAACAGAGTCATGGCTCTTAGCCGAACAGCCCCCCACCCTGGGCTGCCTCCTTCAGCCCAAGAGCTGGAGAAGGAGGGAACAGCAGGGCAGAAAGCCTCTCTCACACCAGGGACACAGAGGTCCCTTGGACACAGGTCAGACAAGAAGCAAGGCTGTGGGACAGATCACAGCAAACAAGCAGGGACCCCATCCAACTCAAGGTAAAATTCCCCCATCTCCATTGCACTAGGAACAGCCATAAGCAAGGGACAGACTGCACTGAATCCCAGCCAGGACTCCTTGCTGAGGGGCAGAGCACAGACTTACCCCCAGGCGCTCCACCAGCATCTCCAGCTCATCCTGCAGCTGCTTGTCCTCCTCAGACTGCCAAAATGCACAAGAGAAAGCAGAGTTAAGGGTGCAGAGCACAGTAAGTCTCAGTATAACAGAGGCAGGGCTGCAGGGGTACCAGGACAAAGTGATGCACTCATTGCTTAGGACACTATCCTGCCCTAGTGCTGCCAGGATGGAGCGATGCTCACATTACTGAGGAAGCCCTCCCAAAGAAACCACCCATTCCCGGGGTGTGAGATGCACCTCCCCCATTACTCCGTGCAGTAAACAACCCCACGGAGAGGGGCGCGTCAGGTCACAGCCCGACGGGGGGACGCTCCACTCACAGCAGCCTCTTCAGCAACAGGCTGTGTCGCCCAACCCACGGGGACCCCCAGAGCCAAAATCACCCCCGTGCTGAGCAAAGCGGGGATCCCTCCACAGTGCCCACTGTCACACACACCCCCTGGTTACACCGCAGCTTCCCTCACCAACACTCCCCTGAGGCCGCCGAGTCCCCCGCCCAGAAACGGGAGCCCTCAATTCCGTCAGGCGGGCACCCCATGACGTCCCGGCGCCCCGCCGAAGGGAACCCCTCGCGCCGCTGCCGTCACGCGCCCCCGCCGGAGGGAGTCCCCGGAGGGATGCTGGCCGTCCCCGTGACGTGGGATGACGTCCCGTTCCCGCAGGGATGCCGGCCAACCCCGTGACGCGGGATGACGTCCTGTCCTGCCCCGCCGGTGACGCGGGCCCGAATGGGCCGTGACTCAGCTGCGGCCCGCGGCGCGGCGGCACTCACCAGCTCCTGCTCCTTCTCGGGCCCGGCCGGCGGGTCCCGGCGGTCTCGGCCCCAAGGCGGCGTGGGCTTCTCGTCGCCGCCCGCCCCGGGGCCGCCCTGCACCCGGCTCTGCCCGCCGCCACCGCCCGCGTCCATGTTCGCCCGGCCGTGCTTCCGCCGCGCCTGCGCAACGCCGTGACGGCACCGGCGCGCGCCGGGGGCGGGGCCAGGGGCGGGCGGCCCCACGTGCGGGGACATCGGTACCGACACTGACACCGGTACCGACACTGACGCTGGTACCGACACCGGTTCCGACACTGACACCGCTACCGACACTGACACCGGCGTCGACACTCAGACCAGTACTGACATTGACACGGACACGGGCACCGATACTGACACTGAAACCGGTACCGACATTGACACGGACACTGACAGGGGCACCGACACTGACGCGGGCACCGGCACCTGCACCAGCACTGATCCTAAACCGGTACCGGCACTGACACTGACACACTGGCATTGTCACGGACACTGTCACCAATAGCGGCACCGGCACTGACGCTGACACCGGCAGCGGCACTGGCAGCTGGAGAGGCTCCACCACCCTGGCACGGGCAACGCTGCCACCCGAGCTGGGCAAGTGAAGTAGCATTGCTGGTAGCATTGTGGCCCCCACATGTCACAGACACCCGTGGGCACCGTGGTGTCCCTCCACCTGTGTTCACACGCACCCTCCTGCTCACACGTACTCGCTGTGTCCCTGGCTCCACAGTTAGGGCAGGTGGCGCTGCCTCACCCTGTCCCAGGGACCCCGGGGAGAACTTTCACCCCCTGCGCAGCAGCACGCCGGGCACCGAGCGGGTGACCTGCGGTGACGCCCTGTCCTGGACAGGTGGTCACACAGGACTGGGAACTATCAAGGCAAGGTGTGAAGTTGTGCACAGCCACGGCCTTCTCCTCGCTCATCGCCAAGGCTCTGACCATGGCTGCACACCCCTGGGTGCGTGTGCTATGGGCCTAAGGGTGACATCGGGGTGCCGTCCTTTAGGTACCGGGGATGAGGTGTCAGTGTACGTGTGTGCATCCACCTGCGCGGGAGCTGCACTGGGGGGTGTCCCCAGGTACCGGACAGGGCGCTGCGGCTCTGCACCATTACTACGCGCTGCCAGTGACGGTACCGTGCGGCGCTGGTGTGCCCGCCTGAGCGCTGAAGACAGCAGCCGGTCCTTGTGTCCCTGCGGGCGTATGCCGGCGGGCGTTGCGGCCAGCCGGGTGTTCTGCAGTTCTGCTGCCCGAGCCGGTGCGAGTGCCGGTCCGAGTGCCGTTGTCGGTGAGGGAGACTGCGGGTGCCTTTGCGGTTCACCGTCTCGGCGCCTTTGCGGCTCTCTGGGGGTGCAAGCGGCGGTGCCGGTGCGTTACTCCTCCCGTGCGCAGGGCGGTCACCTTTGTGGGGGGGCCAGGCCGAGTGGAGCTGAGCGGTGCGACCGGGCTGGGCATCGGGGTCCCCGCTCCAGCCCCTCCCGGGCCGCCGGCCCCCGTCGCCCCCACCCGGTGCCTGCGGTCCACGCGCCGCCGGTCTCAGCCCCTGCGGCTCCATCCCTCCCGCGCGGCCCCATCTCCACCCGGCCCCATCCCTGCCCAGCCCCGGTGCCGGTCTTGGCGGCAGCGCGGCGCCCGGTGCGGGCCATGGCGGCGGCGGAGGCAGGCGGCGCTGCGGCGGCGGCGGGGGCCCGGCGCGGCCCGGGCGGGGAGCGGAGCTAGGCGGGAGGCGGCCCGGGATGGCCAGGATGAACGTGGCCCTACAGGAGCTTGGACACGCCGTGAGTGCCCGGGGCAGCGGCGCCGCAGGGAGGGGGGCAAGAGGAGGGGGGACGGGGGGCACCAGCGAGGAGCTCGGCGAGGGGCACAGGAGGGGGTCGGGGCACAGGAGAGCCCGGGGGATGGAGAACTCGAGGAGCTGGATGGGCTGCGGGGTCTTCGGGAACAGGAGGGAGGAGGGAGGGCGGGGGTGACTGGTGGATTAGGGGGACGGCGAGAGCCTATGGGATGCAGGGGCTGCGTGGTGCCGGGACTAAAGGAACTGAGGTGGCTAGAGGACCCCCCCCTCTAGCCTCCATGTCCCCCACGGTGGAGGAAGAAGGACCCCCTCCAAATCCTTGCCTCGGGTTGCACAGAGGGAACTGGGGTGGTTCAGACATGGCCCCACAAACCCCACTCCGCCGAGGCATGAATGTACCGTAATGCTGCTCATAGGGTGACCCCCAAGACAGCACCTCTGAAGAGGGCAAGAGGCCCTGTCCCCACGGATCTCAGCCCTACAGAGGGGGTAGGAGGAGCCCCAGAAATAGACTCCTGCCTTGAGGATGCCACAGAAGATGCTGGAGAGGGGGTGCTGGCTATTGCCCAGGATGAGGACCACCCAGGAGGGGAAGGGAGCATTTTGAGGGGAGTTGAGGTGGTGGGGGTGCCAGGCTGGCCAAGTTCCTACAGTATGCTGAGCAATCCCTCCTAATGCCAGTATCTTCCAGGAGCCTGACTCGGTGCGGGCCTCCTGCAAACTCCTGCCAATCCCACCCTCCTGCTGCAGACCTTGGCGATGCCCCCTCCCCACCCCAGCAGTGTGGCAGTGGGCAGAGCTGGGCATGAGGCACTCTCTTTGCTTTCCCCCCCCTGCTCATCATCCATCCCACCCCAGCTCCTTCCTGGCCCATGACACCAGCCCTGCAGGCAGCCCGGGGCATTCACTTTAGTCTGCAGCACAGACTGGAGGGTGAGCTGCAACCCACCCATGTGTTGTTAACTCTGAAGCCTAAGGATAGGTCACAACCAGTGGCATTGCTGATTCTCTTCCACCAAAACCTCCAGCATCTTCTTCTAGCTTATTCCCCCCCCCCCCCCCCCCCCCCCCCCCCCCCCCCCCCCCCCCCCCCCCCCCCCCCCCCCATCCAATGCTGCTGGCTCAACTCCACCACCTCCCTCTTGGCTGAGTACTCAGCAGCCCTCACGGCTGGATCTGTGCAAGCTGCCTTGCGAGGCCAGGAGTAAGGGGACCCTGCCCTGCAGCTGACACACATTGCAGTGCCCCTTCTCCCCTCGCACACTTTGTCCTGCATCCTGGTCACCCCCGGAGACAGGATGGGACTGGAAGCACTTCCAGATGTTTCACACTGGTGCACATCTGCATGGAAAGTTCCAGTCAGGGGAGGAGGGGTGAGACAGCAGTACTAGGAAACCGTTGCTTGGTGACGAGGACCATGTCTCCGTGGCGATGTGTCACCTGTCGGCAGGGCTGATGCCATGGCTATGCAGGGAGATGCCCTGGTGACGGCCCTTAAGCCCCTCATTAGCAGCTCTCCTCGTCCTCTCCAGGGCCACGCAGGGCTGGGGACAACCTCTGGGGAGGCCCAGGCACACTGAGGGGAGTCAGGGGCTGCCTCAGCCCCACTGTGTACTCACTGAGCAGGCCCTGCCCAAAGAGCCAGAGGGTGTGGCAGGGCAGGGAACAGCTACCCCCTCGCCCCTGTCCCAGCCCGCTCTCTCCCTTAGCAGATGCCCAACTATAAGCGTGCCACGCTGCAGGATGAGGAGGGGCCGGAGCCAGCAGGGGATGGCAGCGCCTCTCCTGACAGCGTGGAGGTGAGGTCTGCCCCGGCTCCTCCATCTTTCCCCTCTCCATCCTCTCTAGCCCCTGTCCTCATCCTCTGGGGCCTGCCTGCAACCAAGTGGGCAGTGGGAACAGGGTTGGGAGCCAAGCCAGACCTGGCTGTCCCCAGGGATGTGCTGGGAGTCAGCCAAAATGCAGCACAGAATGTGCCTGGACGATCGTCCTTCCTTGTGGCTTGAAGTGGGGGGGCTGCCAGTATCCATCACCGGCTTGCCAGGGCTGGTGGGGAGGGATGCCCTGGTCCCCATCTCCTCGTGCAGCCACGCCAGGCACTGGGGAGTGGTGGGGAGGGAACAGGGGGGCAGTGATGTTTGGCCCCCCATGGTGCGATGGCAGGTCCTGCTCCTGCCCAGGTGGGGTTTCGGAAGGGGCCGGGGACGCTGCTGAGCCGCCTGGCCTCACGCAGCCAGCTGGAGCTGGTGCTCTGCGCTGTCGCCATCTCCCTGGCCCTGCTGCTCAGCGTCGCCATCATCACTCTGGCCATTCAGTACCGCAGAGGTAGGGAGAGTTGGCAATGGTGTCCCCACACCCGGGAGGACACAGGGGGATGAGGAGTGATGGGTCAGCCCAGGGTACCTTCTCCAGGTGCTCTGCCCATCCTGGGGTACAGACAGGGCTTGGCCCCGCTCCGTGCCTCAGTTTCCCCCAGTACACTTGCCCAGCCCCAGGCATGCCTTCCCTGCCAGATCCCTCTCACAGCACGTGCCTGACGGATGCCTGTGTCCGGGTGGCCAGCAAGATCCTGGAGGCCCTGGATAGAGAGACGGACCCATGCCAGGACTTCTACCAGTACTCGTGCGGGGGCTGGATTAAGAGGAACCCGCTGCCCAACGGGCGCTCCAAGTGGAGCACCTTCAACAGCATCTGGGACCAGAATCAGGCCATCATGAAGCATCTTCTAGGTGGGCACCAAGGGGTCACAGACACTGAGGGGGTGACCCCTGTGTCACTTGGGCTGACCCACAGCCTCCCACAGAAAACGCCACCTTCAACTCCAGCAGCGAGGCAGAGCGGAAGACACAGCGGTACTACCTGTCCTGCCTCAAGGAGCAGAGGATAGAGGAGCTGGGCTCCCAGCCCCTTATGGAGCTCATCGACAAGGTGGGCAGACACCCACAGGTGAGCCGAGCCGTCAGGGCTCAGCCCAGCACACCTCCTGCTTAGCTCTTCACTTAACTGGGGAGGGAGGAGACCTCGGGGATGCACCCCATCCCTCCTTGAGGTGCCGAGTCTGTCTGCTGGCAGATTGGGGGATGGAACATCACTGGCTCCTGGAACCAAACCAGCTTCATGGAGGTACTCAAGAGCGTGTCAGGCACATACCGGGCAACCCCCTTCTTCACAGTGTATGTGGGTGCAGACTCCAAGAGTTCCAACAGCAACATCATCCAGGTTGGCACCTTGGCCCCCCGGGGTTGGCAGACACCAGGGGACACCAGAATGTCTATACTGCCCCTCTCTCCCCCCAGGTGGACCAGTCAGGGCTTTTCCTCCCATCCCGGGATTACTATCTGAACAAGACTGCCAACGAGAGGGTGAGGCTGGGTGCTGGGGCATGCTGCCAGCAGCAATCACGGGAAACCTACAGGGTGCGAGCAGCACTGGGACACACTTGGCCTCTCCATACTGCCTGTTGGGTGCCCACCCGAGGGAGCTGAGATGAGCTGTGGTTGGCACTGAGGCAGGGCTTGGGGTTCCACAGGTTCTGGCAGCGTACCTGGACTACATGGTGGAGCTGGGCACACTGCTGGGGGGCACCCCAGAGCCCACCCGCCTCCAGATGCAGCAGGTGCTGGACTTTGAAACCCAGCTGGCCAACATCACCGTGCCCCAGGCTGAGCGGCGGGACGATGAGAAGATCTATCACAAGATGAGCATCGCTGAGCTGCAGGTAGGCACGGCCCAGAGCAGACCTTCTGGGACAGCACCGAGGGGTGTCTTCACTCTGGCACACCCTGGGCAACCCCATCTGCTGTGGGACATGCACTGGGTGTTGAAGAGTAGTGCTCATCCCCCAGTTGTTACCATTTGGGGGAAGCTGCCACCTCATATTGTGGGGTCCAGTGGTCCCCTCCTTGTCCTGCAGCATTAAGAGCAGCAGGAGGGGTGCAGAGAAGGATCTGGAGTGGTGAGGGACTTTGGGTCCTTCCCAGAAAACACAGTTCCTGACCCAGGAGAGCCCCTCCATGCTGAGTAGGATGCAGCAGAGCTATGCCAAGCCCCTGGTGCCACATTCCTGTGTCCTCTCCAGCTTCTGGCCCCTGCCATTGACTGGCTGGATTACCTGTCCTACGCCCTGGCCCCACTGGATCTGGCAGACACGGAGCCTGTGGTGGTGTATGGGGACACCTACCTCCAGCAGGTCTCTGACCTCATCAATGACACTGACAGGAGGTGAGGCTCCTTCATATCCCTGGCTGTGGCCCCCATGGCAGGGAAACATTTTGGGCTCATCAGTGTCTTGAAGTCATGGACCATAGTCAGCTGCAGCATCTCTCTGTCCCCGCAGCATCCTGAACAACTACCTAATCTGGAACCTGGTGCAGAAGACAGCCTCCAGTCTGGACCAGCGCTTCGAGACAGCCCAGGAGAGGCTGCTGGAGACACTCTATGGCACCAGGAAGGTAATGGAGGGCCCTGGGATCAGACCCTTCTGCCCTCAGCCTGGAAGCAGCAAGGACTTCCTCTGTCCTTCAGATGCCCTTGGGATGCTAAAACCTGGATGCTTCAATGGGAACCTAGGGATTATCTTTTGGGATGTGGGTTTTACTGCTGCTGTGTATCTCCTCCTCTGATGAGGAGGCAGAGCCAGGCTGCGTGAAGGCAGGGGAGCAGGGGAGGGAGCTGAAGGTCTCACAGATCCTCATCTCACTCCTACAGTCCTGCACACCCCGCTGGCAAACCTGCATCTCCAACACAGATGACACACTGGGCTTTGCGCTGGGCTCCCTCTTCGTCAAAGCCACCTTTGACCGGGACAGCAAGGCCATCGTGAGAATACTTCTGTCCCCATCCCCTCCCCATCACCAGTAGCGGGAATCCCAATTCCACCCAATCCCCAGGGCTGGAAGACAGAGAGCTGGGACATAGGACCCCCAACCCTGGGGAGGTTGTACCCTGTCCACCCTGTCCCCACCGAAGCATTGTGGGGGGTAGGGGGCCTTCATTCTTTCCCCTCCCCAGGCTGAAGAGATGATCAGCGAGATCCGTGCAGCCTTTGAGGTGTCCCTGGACCAGCTGGACTGGATGGATGAGAAGACCAGGCAGGCTGCAAAGGAGAAGGTGACCCCAGGGAGGGAAGTGGATGGGAAACCTCACCCTATCCATAAAAGCTCCCCCATCTCACTGCTTGGGCCTCTCCCTGTGCAGGCGGATGCCATCTATGACATGATTGGCTTCCCTGACTTCATTCTGGACAACAAGGAGCTGGACGATGTCTATGATGGGGTAGGGAGCACCCCACTTGTGGGGAGAGGCTTGGTCATGCCAAGCTCTGGGGGGGCCCCATGGTAAAGCAACGCCCATATTTGGGAGGTTATGCAAAGCCACCATGAGTTCATCCTGGCCAGGGTGTGGAGAACCACCCCAGTGGACCTGTCCTCATCCCTCCTCTTCCTCACCAGTACGAGGTCTCTGAAGACTCCTTCTTCCAAAACATGCTCAACTTCTACAACTTCTCTGCCAAAGTGATGGCTGACCAGCTCCGGAAACCCCCTAACCGTGACCAGTAAGGGGTGGGCTCAGGGGCTTTGGGGGGAGGATGTGATCCTGGGTGCCTGGATGGCACTGGTTCAGTGGGGAGGAGGTCACCCTCATGGGGTAGCACAGGTCACCTGTGGTAGCTGTAGCTAATCCCCAGGTAAGGTCCTTGGTAAGAGAATGGTGGCAAAAGTGTCAGCCTTGGGCAGGGCCCTGTGGTGGACAATGGCACGGGAAGGTGCCAGTGCTGGGGTGAAAGGGACACACCCCTGCCTGTCTCCTGTCCCACCTCCCTGCCCCAGGTGGAGCATGACCCCACAGACTGTCAATGCCTATTACCTGCCCACCAAGAATGGGATCGTCTTTCCTGCTGGGATCCTCCAGGCTCCCTTCTACGCCCGCAACCACCCCAAGTGAGTCTGGCATGGGGAGAACCTCCTGGAGGCATGGGTTGGATCAGGGACAACATGCCACAGAGCACCTCCACATTCACAAATAAAAGCCCTGAAGGGCTCAAGTGTCCCTCAAGGCTTTACATCCTGCAGTCAAGACAACCTGAGTCCCCTTAGGGCCACCAGTATCCCCAACAATAGTGATTCCCAGCTGAATCCCAGCTGGAGCAGTTTCACTGGGTGTCCAGACAGAGATGGGGTGGGCTGCAACAGCATCATTAACACATACTGTACTTACCTGGTTCTTTCCCATGGCCCCACAGAGCCCTTAATTTTGGTGGCATTGGCGTGGTGATGGGACACGAGCTAACCCATGCATTTGATGACCAAGGTGAGAGCCTACAGGCAGTGCTGGCCCCAACCCCTGTCACCTTCCTGTCCCCCCCCAGCCCCCGCCCTTGGCATGGAGAAGAGGTGCCCTGGGTGCACAGGGGTCCCGCTTTGCCATCCATTGCATCATGTGTGCTCGTGCCCCCCTGGCCACCCCCTTCTATCGTCCTGTCTCCCCAGGTGGCACCTGCCGATACCTTCCCCCGGCTTCTCTGTGCAGCTTTCGCTCCATCCGCTTGGTGAGGACACAGTGTCTGCAGCCCCAGCCTCCTTTTCATCCTCCCAGGGCATGGGACAGGTCCCGCTCACATCCACTCTGCTTTGCACCTTCACCACAGCCCCAGAGCTGACATGGGGTCAAAGAGGGAATTTGGGGTCATAGATCCGGGCTGGGATAGGGAGAATGCACTGGGGGATGCCTGGGGTCCCAAGTGCATGGCTGAGCCCCAGGCAGAGCCTGCCCACAGCAGGGCCTGGGGGACAACTTCCCCCACTGGGCGTGGACCCAAGGAGCTTGGTCCCCCAGGCATCCCTGGTGTCCATTCCCCATTCTGCCTTGGGAACCCCTGCAGCAGAGGGGCTGCAGGGGGACGGCTTCCCCTGGTCCCACCCCAACCCATGGCTCGGTTGTCCTGCAGGACGGGAGTACGACAAAGAGGGAAACCTGCGGCCATGGTGGCAGAACTCCTCCCTGGAGGCCTTCAAGAACCGGACAGCGTGCATGACGGAGCAGTACGGCCGCTACACCGTCCACAGTGAGAAGGTCAATGGACGGCAGACACTGGGCGAGAACATCGCTGACAACGGTGGGCTCAAGGCAGCCTACAACGTGAGTGCCGCCATCCCGAGGGGACACGGACCCCCGGGCCTGTCTGTCCCTTCCCGGAGCTTCAGCCCAGCTCTCCCGCAGGCTTACAAGTTGTGGCTGCAGAAGAACGGGGAGGAGAAGCGCCTGCCAGCCCTGGGGCTCACCAACCACCAGCTCTTCTTCGTGGGCTTTGCGCAGGTAGGGTGGAGTGAGATGATGGACATGCCATCCCTCCCTGGCTCCTCGGAGCCTCCCCACCCCGCACCGGGGAGTGCTCTGTCCCCATCCCTGAAGCTGCTACTGTTCCTCAGGTGTGGTGCTCCGTCCGGACGCCAGAGAGCTCCCACGAAGGGCTGGTGACCGACCCCCACAGCCCCGACAAGTACCGTGTCATCGGCACCCTCAGCAACTCCCGGGACTTTGTCGAACACTTCGGCTGCCCCCTGGGCTCCCCCATGAACCCCGGCAAGCACTGTGAGGTGTGGTAGGGACGGGGAGGGTGCTGGGGACAGAGGGGATGATGCTCTGCTGTTCCCCAGCTCCCCAGACCTCAGTGGCTGCCAGAGCTGGCCACGGGCAGAGAGCAGTCCCCCTCCTGTGCTCACACTGCACACCCCACCTCTGCATCCTCCCCGGCACACACGGCCCCACACCAGGCACCCACCGCAGCCCCATCCACAGCTTGGGGCTGGACACGGCCGGCAGAGAGGCTGTAGCACCCCCAAAACGCAGCTCTGCCCCCCAAACCCTGATGTGCTTGAGTCGGGCACAGCTCAGTGTCCCCTGCGCTGCGTCCGCCCCTCAGGCGGGCAGGTCAAAGGGGTCCCAGGGAAAGCACTAGAGCCAAGATCCCCCTGCTCCCGCCCCCCAACCTGCCGGAGATGGAGGCTGGGGACCCCCGGCTCCGCGCTTCCCTTGTCCCCTCCCACTCCTGCTTGGCTTCCCCATCCACCTCTGCTGGGACCAGCGGACGGCAGCGGGGACTCTGGTGCCTTCAGCTGTGGGTGGCTGTCGCCGAGTTTATTTAACAATTAAAAGCAGTTTCCACTTACTCCAGCAGCTCCGGGTCCTTGGCGGTGTCGGGGCGGGGGGAGAGGTGGGATCTGGGTGTGACTCCAAGGCTGGGGACGCGTGGGAGGTGAGACATCCCGAGGGAGGGGAGCGGGGAATGAGATGCCTGGATGGGCAATTCCCTGAATGAGGGAAGCAGAGGTGTGGGGAGGAACACAGCAACGGTGGTGGGGACGAGTCAGAGCCACGGGAGTCCTCGGTAAAGCTCAGCCCGGGGGTCCCGCTGCCTTCAGCGCGGGTGATCCCAGACAGCCAGCCCAAGGATCCGAGACTCCACTCCGAGCTTCCGGGGCCCGCCCCGGCCGGTCTCGGCCCGCACAGCGCGGCCCCAGCCCCACCCCGGCGTACGCCGAACTCCCCGGTACCGGGACCCCGCGGGACTCCTCGGCCACAGACAGAGGCGCTCGCAAAAGCTGCTGGGAGTTGTGGTTCTGCCTCGGACGACGCAGGGCATGACAGGAGCTGTAGTTCAGCGTGAGGGATGCTGGGAGGGGTAGTTCGGTCACAGCAGGCCCGCCGCCTCACCGCGAGGGCTGGACTACATTTCCCAGCAGGAAGCGCGGTAGGGCCAGGGCCCGGGCTTGGGCGCCTCAGGGGTACGGGGGCGTCGGGGCCGGGCGCGGCGGCGGGGCCAGGCCGGGACCGAGCCGGGGGCTGGGCCGGGACAGATCGGGGGGCCGGATCTGGGTGGGAGTCTAGGCCAGGCTCCGGGTTGGGTCACGGGTGTTGGGCCTCCGCCCGATCCCCGGTGCAAGACTGGGCCTCGGCTGGGCCTGGGATGCAGGGTCGAGCCGGGTGCCGGGCACCTGTGGGTGCTGGAGGTGAACTACCCCCACTGGAGCAGTGGAGCGGCAGAGCGTGAGGACAGGGGCGGAAAAGTATCCCTGCCTTGGGGTCAGGGGCAATGAGACAGCGCCGCCTTGGGGACAGGGATCCAGGGACACCCCTGTCTTCAGAGGGAGGGGCAGTGGGCTGTCCCTGTCAGGGGTGACAAGGATGACAAGGCCTCATTCCCCAGACAACATGCTCACCTTGCAGGCGTTGTTGCCCAAGCCTGGCACCATGGACAAGCCCATCACTCCAGGGGAGCTGCTGTGTCTGGGCTCCAGCCTCGCCTTCTCTGGCCTATTCTACTACCTGTACAGGAGGAAAGCCAGAGTCGTGGCACGCATACAGGTAGCCCTGTCTCTCAGATGCTCTTTCCTGCCTACTGTCCCTTCCTCACTGTCCCCTCCACACTTTGATTTGGGTGCACACACTGGTGCCTGCAGCCTGCTTCATCCTCTGGTGACTTCATGACACACAGAACTGAGCAGGCCACATCCTGCCAGAGATCTCCACAGATCCATTCTTGCCCTACTCACTGCCCATGCTTACACTCAGTCCATGCTCTTCCAGGAGGCCCCAAAGCTCCAGGTCGATGACGATTTGCCAGCCCTGGTGTCTGCTGCTGACGGGAGGTGCCTGCCTTATGTTGCCCTGGAAGGTAAGGACACCCTGTGGCCCTGCACAAGGGACGAAGGCCGAGATCTCTTTTGGCTGTGACACATTCCTTGTCCTTAGGCATAGTGCTGCCAGCCCAGGCTGCACTGACCAGCCACTACCATGAGGGGCTGCAGGGCGTGATCCAGAAATTGCTGCTGAAGGAGCATCGGCTGATCTGGAACAGCTTGGCCCGAAGCTGGTGAGTGATGGGAAGGGACCGTAGGAGGGGGCTTGCAGCAGTGAGTCCAGACCCCCATTGTTTGGGGCCACATGAGGCAGAAAATAACTTGGTTAAAGGCTTTAGTCCCTACACTTAGCTCAGCACCGAGAGCTCAGAGCTTCTCTGTGTTGTGGCCAGCAGGAACAGGGCACTGATCATACCCTTGTACGCAGCACACCTCAAATGACCTCGAGTCACACACACACACACACACACACACGCACACACACATCGAGTCCTGTGTCTAGGTCTGGGTCCCTCAGCTCAGGAGGGTCATTGAGCTACTGGAACAAGTCCAGAGAAGGGCAGCAGAGCTGGTGAAGGGCTGGAGCACATGTCTGATGAGGAGCAGCTGAGAGAGCTGGGAATGTTTAGCCTGGAGAAGACTCTGGGGTGGCATTTATTGCTCTCTACAACCCCCTGAGAAGAAGTTGGAGCCAGGTGGGGATCAGCCTCTTCTCCCAGGAAACCAGTGACAAGACAAGAGGAAATGGCCTCAAGCTGTGCCAGGGGAGGTTTTCTGGCAGAGGTTAGGAGGAACTTCTTCACCTAGAGGATGATTAGACATTGGAATGAGCTGTCCAGGGAGCAGGAGGCTTCACCACGAGGAGGTGATGGAGTTGACATCCTTGGAGGTGTTTAAGGAAAGACTGGATATGGAATTTAGTGCCATGGTCTAGTGGACAGGCTGATACTCAGTCATAGGTTGAACAAGATGATCTCAGAGGTTAATCTAACTGATGCTGTGATTCTCCACAATCCAACCCTCTCCACTTGCAGGAGTGAGAGTGAGCGGGTGCTCTCAGAGCAGATCTACACTGTCCCCTTCCTGCTGGCCTCACCAGGCCCTGAGGCAGTGACACAGGTGAGTGTGGACAGCCCACTCCAAGCCGTCTGCCTGCCCCTGGAGATGGTGTACGAGCGGTTCCAGCAGCCAACCCACGGCTTCCGCGACCTGCTGGGCCAGTACCTGATGGGGGAGAAGCCCAAGGGCATCCTGGAGACGGAGGAGATGCTGCGGGTGGGGGCTGGGCTGACGGGCATCGGGGAGCTGTCCCTGCACCCCGACGGCTCCCTGCACCTCCAGCCGCCGACCCAGGGAGGCGAGTTTTTCCTGTGCCTGGGGGACTGGCAGACGGTGCTGTCGGAGCTGGAGTCGGCCAGCGGGCTCTGGAAGGGGGCAGCGTTGCTGTGCGCGGCAGCGGGACTGGCCGTCCTCCTGCATGCCCTGTGCCGTGCCTACCGCTGCTCCCGCCCCAAGCAGCAGCAGGAGGACAAGGAGCTGGATGGGGAGGAGGCTGGGGACCGGGCACCCGAGGATTCCTGCGTGGTCTGCCTGTCACGGCCCCGCGAGTGCGTCCTCCTGGGCTGCGGCCACATCTGCTGCTGCTTCCGCTGCTTCCAAGCCTTGCCCACCCGTCTCTGCCCCATCTGCCGGGGGCCCATTGATCGTGTGGTGCCCCTCTACCAGGCCTGAGAGCATCTGAGGGTGCCCAGGAAGGGGTAGCCTGAACTGGGCCAAGCCTGGAGCCTGCAGAGATCTCAGCTGTCTTCTCATGTGCAGCTGTGCAATTCCTTTTGGGAGGGAGGGGTTTTGATGTGCCCTTCAATCTGTTTTGGCAAGGGGGGGAGTTACATCTTCCTCATCCTCCCTTTGTCTACCAGAGGGACCCCCCTAAACATGAAGACTTGGGGAAAATCTACACAGTGCTTCCTGAGCTGAGGAGCTGAGACCCCAACCCCACACTGGGGCATTACTTTGGCTGCCAGCTATTGGACTTGTGTCTCTTTCTGAGCCATGACCTCCCAAAAGCTACTCAGGATTTCTCCCTTGTGTTTATTTTCCAGTGTGTGGATTTAGGGGGAGGATTATGAGGGCAAGACCAGGGCTGGTGGGACACAGCAGGCACAGTGGAATGGCAGAGACCCAAAGCCCCCTGACCCACTGCAGTGATATACCTTGGTGCCAACTTTGTCCTGCCACCCCAAACTGTGTGCCTATAGCCACTGGCCAGATGACACTGGGGACACCCAGGGGCTGGCAGTGATCAGTCCCTTTGCCAGCTGCTCTATCACCAAGAGGGGGGCTATGTCCCTCTGTCACTGTCTGCAGGGAGAACAGCTTCAGTGTGCCACAGAGCTTGCCCTCATGTCCAGCCCCACTGCACCCAGCTTTCCTGCTCACCTCCCGTAGAGGACCAGGTGTGGGAGTGACTTGCAGTGGTGTGTGGAGTGATAAAGCCAAGGAGCCAAGCTTGGCCTCACCTCTTCCTTTGCGCCGTTAAGCTGGGGGCTGGGTGGGTGCTGGGAGTCAAGGCTCTTCCCTTTGAGGGATGAGCATCACTGCCTCCCCGTCTTCCTTATCCAAGGAGCTGGCCCAGGTTCACAGTGGAGCCCAGGTGCATCTCCTCCAGATGCAGCCCTGGATGGGGGTGGCAGTACACACAGGACTGTTGCCAAGGTGATTGTGCTCCTCAGGTCTCCATGGCAACTGCTCCCCTGGACTGCTCCCCATCACTGCCTGGCTGCAGTTGCCCAGGCAACCCATGGGCTCTCCTGGCTCCTGCAGCTTTGGGGCACCCAGGCTTTGGGGGTGGGGGACAGTGCTGGCAGGCCACTGTCAGCCAGACAGCAGTGTTGGGATTGGAGGGGGATGATGTGCCACCTCCCCAGGTCGGTGGCCACAATTGCTTCCAGGCTGGGAGCTTGCTGGGGGCAAAGGTACCTTGGCAGGGTTGCCCCCAGGACACACACAAGACAGGAGGCCTCAGAGGACCAGTAAGGCCTCCTGGGACCCACGTGCATTTTTGGGGTGAGGATGTGTGGGTGAGTTCTCATCCTCCACCCCCCTTTTTCTCAGTCCAGCCTCTTCCCTGGGCTGCAGAGTGAGCAGTGGGGCCCAGATTCCCCCC